AGAGCTAGAAAAAGCAACAGCAAGCCCCACTTGTTATTTAATAAATAAGTAAAGTTTCTAAAAAAACCAAAGCCCTTAATTTAAACTCAAAGTAATTTGTCCAAAAATTGCTTTGCAATCTTCCAGCCAGCCTATAATGAATAAGCTCTGGTAATTTCCAGTTGGTACAATAGAAAGGGAAATGCAACTTAAAAATATAGAACTATAAAATCACAAACAGTTCTCGCCCAGGGACCGTATTATTTGTTAACTAACTTATGATTAGTGCTGATGTTTTCAGTAGTGTCCCAAACCTGTACTGACTGAGAATTAAAACCACATTTGCAATAGTAAATGGAATGGTTAAACCTAATTTTCCTTCCACTTAACTTCCAAGGGCTCTCGTCTTGTAGGTAAAACAACAAATCCCATCATAATGACAAAGGATTTTGTGCAAATGTTGATGTTAATATCTGAGCTAGAGCTCTTGGTTTTCTTTGCAGAGCCTTGTCTCATTTATGCATGGGAAAATCTGGAATAATTTCCAATCGAGTCAAAGCAGTTACTGCAGAATTAGGTGGGTTTAAACAAAATCTGTTTGGAAACTGGGGTTTATAGTTTACCTGTTGAGTAAAGGGCAAAATTCTTTTCAAATGTTTATCTTTGAACAAAATTGCAATATAACCATTACCTATCCTTAGTTATATTTTTTTTAATAATTCAAAATTCATTTGTGATGAATGGTGGAATAATTACGAAATGATGGAAGATCAACTGAATGCTCAAACAATTTGCTGCAACCAGGCTAGAAATTTGTACTGAATTTTTAAAACCTTAAATATCGCCTAATTTTTACATAACTTTTAGAAAATCTCATCAAATAATATAATGAGATTAACCCATAAGCATTAAGAGTATCAGTTCTGATGTAAAAAGGAATGAATTAATTTGATTATACACCTAAACATAGATTTTTATACAGTTATCTTAACAACTGTATTTATATGATAATTGAGTATGTAGTTAGTGAAATCCCCCAATGTTTGTAAGAGGAATTCTCTTTAATATTTACGTAGTTAAGGTCTGTTTTTAGAGCCCTCCCAGGTGACACCAGTGCAGTATTTCTGTACGTAGCAGATGTCAAAGGGAATCGATATTCAAAATTCAGCAGGCCTGGCATGAGAAAGCTGTAAATGGCACACAGTACATGGGTCCTGACGACTTGCAGTTTAGTGCATGACAGAGAAATAAATTTCATATACATATATATGTGCTATCCAAGGTGTGAGGAGGATTCCAGCAACGCTATACGAAGGATAGAACCACATGAAAGTAGGATGAGAGAATTTGGGTTTCTTTTATATTTTTATTATTTTTTTTTTCCCCGAGAGGAAAATATTCTGTATCCGTTTCAGCACCAGATTTATCATTTCAACTTGTTCAACAGCATTTTAGGAACAGAGCTGTGCAAAGCAGGAGCCCCTGATAAGCAGGTTAGAAGCTGCAAGCATTAGGATCAGCCAGGGCTTCCATAGGACCAGACTCCTCTTTGGTTAATACATTAAATCATTGACTTACAATGATGAAACATTTAGGATAGGTCAGTTCTTGTTGCTCTGAATGGATGAAAGGTGGTTGATGGGCTTTATTACAAACTTTAAGACTCATTTCTACACTCACAGAAACATAAACCTATCATTCCTATATTTTCCTACACGGTACACACCTCTCTGTATACAGGAGCACTGCTCTGCTTTCACCCCTCTTCTGCTATGTTTCGGAGATAAATCTGCAACTGAGGATGCACAAACCTGACATGAACTGCTAAAGTTGACCTTAAAATGAGCAATTCATGGCCAGAACACAGTTTCCTAAATTGTGTGAATGAAACTCAAGTGTTTTGAGCTCTCTAAAAAGAAAAGGCTCTGCTTTAGCAGTGCCTGAGATGGTGGTAAAGGCAGACTGCGCCCTCTTGATTTTGCACTGAAAACAGCATAGCCAGCCCCAAAACGAGCCTAACCAATGACAACAGAATAAAAATAACAAGATAAATATCCTAACCATCACTCCAACCAGGCATCTTTAAAACTTTGGGGGACAAACTCCTCCACCCTATTTCTTCAGTAAAAGGGTAGCACAAAGACATCTAGTTCTCTGTGTTTTAAAACAATCTTCCATTGGAAAGCCACAGAATATTTAGCTTTTCTCTGCAAGGGGGGAAAGAACTTAATCGAAACTCTGAGATTTAAGACAAAACTATGAAGAGATTCCTGTAACTGCACTGGGGATTTTTCTGTATGGTTTTGCTTTTCTCCTTTTGTATACCTGACTCATTCCCCTGCTATTTACTGTCTCATATGGCCTGGACCTGCCCACTCCTATGAAAATGCAACACTGGGCTTTGTTCTTCTTTTAAAAATGAAGAAGTTAGCGAGCCTGGGATGAGTAAACACGTTAAAAAGGGATGCCAGAGCACGTCAGCCCAGATCTGCCCTGCGTGGGTTAAGCAGCGAGGTGCAAAGCAGACAGTCAACTTGAAGTCAAAGAGAAGGATCTTCTCTCTGTTACTATTTTTTAAAGTGCTTAAAATTCTTCCAATATCAACAGAAAAAAAGGATTTTTAAAGCAACCCTCCATTGACTTCAGTGCAGCAACTGGGCGTAGCCAAAGGCAGATCTCAGCAGTTCAGGTTTGCAGCCCAAGCTGCAGCTGCTCATAAGGGGACTCCTTAGTCCAGTGGTTTCCATCCTTTTTGGTTTTGGTCCTTCCAATGGATCAGCAAATCCCCACAGTGTGAATTAAAACTGAATGACAAATAGTTTGGTTTTGAGACCCATGGTGTTGGACCTTGGACCAACACTGACTGCAGGTCAAGGCTCGTAAACCACTGCACTAACAGTATCCCAAATTGTGACGGTAGGTTTGGTTCAGTATAATAGACAGTACAGAAAGGCAGGAGGATAACAACTAAAACAGTTGCAACTAAAGCCCCTTGGGTGCCTCAGGAGACTCTTGACAACAGTCATTTCACAGAACCAACGATAAATCAGGCAAGACCTAGACCCACCATGCAGGTGAGCTAGGGAACAGACACAGTATCTATTTTCTGTTGAAACAGCACCACACAGCAGTAATGTTGTCCTCTTGGTGAAGTTACAAATAATCCCATTTTCACAAATAGAAAGGATTGTAAGGATAGAAAGAGAAAGCCTTCATGAGATCCAGCCGTCCTCCAGTTCTTTGTCAGATGAACCTGATTTTTCCATAGGTAGATGAAGGCTGGTTATTGATTCTCAAGAAAGCAAGGAATTCCCTCCTTGGTCAAGTGCATTGCGCCAAATGTGATTCTGCTCAAAACAATCCTCTTGCTCCATGGATGAGCCTGCTCTTTCCTCCATTGGCCTGAAGCTCCTCTCCCTCTGCTCCTCACTGGAGATGACTCAGAGATCTATTTCCTTCCCTATTATCAAGTTCAAGCAATTGCACATCATGGCCCAAAAACCATTTCATAACATTTCTGAAGCTTCCAGGCAAATTTCAATTATATTTCTTCAACCAAGCTCACAATATTTTTTTGTTTGCGATTGCAGAAGTAGCAGCAGATGAGTAATTCGGGGCTGAACATATACATTTGCAACCCCCAAGGTGGAACAATGCTCCTAACACTGTTTTACAACCCTTGTCTGTTTTTATAACATCTTTCGCCTTGGTACAAGGGAACTTCATGAAGATATGCCACCCTAAGAGTGATTTGTTCGTGTTCCTCCACATCCTACATACAACTTAACTTGTTTTCTTTAGGACATAGCAGGGACAAAGCATTCAAGGACTTCAAGCTTTATCCTGCTG